ATTTTGCGATCCTTCTTTTGAACTCCTTTGCTTAGTTGCTTGCCAGCTGTCTCAAGCATTTTGACCACCGTTACATGCTAGAGTTTTCAGAATCTTCGGCTCAATGCTGCATGGTTTTCGCCGATGTGGATCCCCGGTAGCGCTGACAACACTCTTCATCGGTTTTAAAGGTATGCACTTCACAATATTTCCTGTGGTGGCTGGTACTTTTGCCTCCGGCGTTGGCGCACATTCACACACCATCGGGATACCGCGGAGCCTCAGGAGGACTGTTTGGCTACATAGCGCAAATCACCGGTCTCACCACCATCGTGGTTCGTCGGGCCACCTCTTTGGTTGGCCTCTGGTTCGCCGGCCAAGTTTGCTGGTTGACTGTCGCCTATCTCCACGAGATGGGTGGAGGCGCTCTGTGGGGCCGCAGTCTTTGGCTTGCCCTCTGGGGCGCTTCCGCTCTCTTCCTCATTGTTAATGTAGTCATTTTGAAGTGTCTGATGAGATGGCTCGTGGTCAGTATTACTCCAACATCCTCGGAGAGGCGTCTTAATCACTCAGAATCTCCACCGGTCCTTATGACCTCGCTCAACTGTGAAAAATACAGAGAGGAGCTTGGGAGCAATATTCGAAAAAGAAATTTAGAATAAAACGCAAAATCGTAGTTCAATTAAGGTCTTCCTTTGCACCACATGTTTAGACCCGTACATTTCCACCCTCATACAAGTGTTTTAATTAGTCTGTATACGTTTTCCTCCAGAAGCAAATAGACGGTTTCCTGAATAAAAGGACGTTCTGTTGCTTGGGGTAATGGAAAGTACGTGCCAGTCTTCCTTCTGTGGACTGAGAATTAATACGGACGTCAGGTAATTAGGCGTTCGAGAATGCTACCGTCCGAATCACTCATCCACCCCATTCGTGTGCGCCTGATTAATAGCTACAACCCAATCCTTGAAGCGCGATGGGAAGTGGGATCAAGTGCGAATTTGCTGTAGCAAGCTTTAATTAAGCACGAGATGCTTGCACAGATTTGTAGCTTGCAAATTTTAGTATCACACAATTACGACATTCCAGTTGCATTAATTTGCTAATGAACAGGTGGAAGTCAAGGCGGGTTACTAGGACTGTACTACTTTATGCAGCTACTGATATCCATTTTTGTGAGACCCTTTGTAATAGCAGATAACCGCATTTTGAGGTTCTGGTATCGCAAGGTCAGTCGCGTTTTCATCAATTCATTATAGTTGTAATTTCGTGATAACCTTTTACAATGGTGTGCGTTAGAAGGGGTGGCAGCGCTCCGCACCTCGATTTTTGCTCGTAAAAGAATCGAAGCATTTGAGGTCCTGGTGTCAATGTCATTGGATCTTGTTTGCACTTTGAAGCAGACGGAGAGATGTTTTTTTTTAGCTTGCAATAGTGAAAGCGAAGTGCCATGGGAAGTAAAAGTAATGAAGTGAACATTGGACCGGAAAGCCACGACCTATACGACTTGTCCAAATGCATTTAAAACTGGATGTATGAAAACGTCAAAAATGTGAATTATCTTTGCTCAAGAGGGCAAACCTTAATTTGTCTTAAGCGAACCTTAACAACTGTGTGTAAGAGCGCTTCACACTTTAACCCTGGGCATTTAATAACGAAAGGAAGACCGCCAAGCAACTCCATAAAGTGTACTGAAGAATATTGTGGAATCAGCAACCTACCTCACTTGTTTTAGAATACGGCAAAATGTGAAAGGACTCTTCTCTTCAACTAGTGACAATAAGCATAGCGTCTTTTGTATGCAGAAAAAAAACTTAAAATTTAAACACAAATTCATTATTCTTGCGGATAAAGCAGCGAGGAAATTGGCTGTTGTCGGGTGAATCTACAAGCAAGAAGAAGCCAACTAATGTTGCAGAAGTCCAACTGAAAGGGAAAAGGTGGATGAGTGAACGTAAGCGTAAGTAAATGACTGAAGATTCTGAAGAGAATATTAGAAGATAATTGAGGAAGGATGGGTAAATAATGAACGCAAAACTGAATTTCTTTAAGATGAATGTGTTTACTAAGTAAGTAATTGAAGATAAATGAGTGGAGCTGCAAGATGTCAAAATGAACTAATGAAAAAGTGGAAACCTCAAGGCGTAATACATTTCCTGCACAAATTACACCCTGTGCACGTTTGTAATCCTACTTTTAATTGCATTCCCATGTGGAACTTAATATTCTAGTTTCGATCCTGGAGTAGTTGCATTCATTCCTAAGGAAAGCGAGCAATTTCAGTTTCAGTTAATCCAAATTTCAATGCGCCACCA